TTATTTTACGTATATCTCAAAATCGGAGTTTTTATTTTTTTAACTATCTCAATGGAAAGCTTGAATAATTTCCTCCAAAATATGTAATTTTCAGAGAGGGATCTTTTATAGTTTTTGAGATAGAAACAATTGATCACACGCGCGTACTCTGACCGCGCGCCGTCACGCCGCGCCAAGTGGTATATGTATGTAATACACATGAGTAATTCGATCTGTAATTGAGGGGTATATCCTCCGATTTCTTCTATAATAAGTTTTTTGGGTAGAGGTTATTGGTCTAGTTGAGTAAAAAAAATTTTGAAAAAAAATATTTATTATTTTTCGAGATATTTGCATTAAAAAATTAGTCCAACTTTTTTTTCAATTACTCATAACTTTTTTACTTTTAATCCTAGAAAAAAATTTCTTAAACGTTTTTTAATTTATTTATTTATAAATAGTATATTATGTGGCAAGCACATAAAGTAGTACTTTTTATGTGAGGATGTAATTTTCAATACGAGCTGTCGTTAGTGCGACGCAGGTAAGACGGAAGTCGAGCCAAGTCGAACCGAAGTCGCACAGACAGCGAGTATTGACATCATCCGAACCTAAAAATTACTACGTGCGAGCCACATACGCTATTTTTTTCGCCATTGTTATAAAAAAGTGAAACAATTTAAAAGAAATATATATATATATATATATATATACTAGAGGGGGTACGCTCCCCAGTTTTAATCATTTTTTTTTAATTTTCCATTGATCTTATTTTTCCAAATGAACCACCAATTTCAAAGAATTATTATTACAAATTCATTGAAATCTGAATAAATATTATTAAAATTAAAATTATTAAATTTTAATTAATAAATTAATTAAATTAATAATAAATAAATAATTAAATAAATTAAAATCGACATTAAGAAATTATTTTTAAAAATAATTTCAATGAAATTGCCTAAAAACCAATAAATTATTAAAAAGTCTTCAAACAAACATAACCTCAAAATTTAGGTCATTTCTGGCGCGGGAGGGGAGGGGACTTGCGGCTATATTCAGAGCCTTGAAACGAACATAACCTTAAAATTTAGGCCATTTTGGCGGAGGAGGGGAAATGAGAGGAGGGAGGGGGGACTTGCGGATATATTCAGAGCCTTGAAACAAACATAATCTCAAAATTTAGGTCATTTCTGGTGCGGGAGGGGACTTGCGGCTATATTCAGAGTCTTGAAACGAACATAACCTCAAAATTTAGGTCATTTTTGACCGAGGAGGGGAAGGGACTTGCGGCTATATTCAGAGTCTTGAAACGAACATAACCTCAAAATTTAGGTCATTTTTGACGGAGGAGGGGAGGGGACTTGCGGCTATATTCAGAGTCTTGAAACGAACATAACCTCAAAATTTAGGAGGGGGGGGACTCCCTCCCTCCTAGGTCAAGAATTCTTGAAACAGCGGCGGCGGCGATATCTTTTTGTAATATAGGAAGATACATATTATATATATATATATATATATATATATATATTTGTATAATATATAATACATAGAGATATAAGAATAGAGTGCGCAAGCCTGTACAATTTCCATGTTACGCTGCGACAAACCAATAGAAGAAGACAGATGCAACTAGTGGGCCCTGCCTTCCTTCTTGTCTTACTAACTCTAAAACATCAGTGAAACAAGGATGGGAAAGGGGCCTACAAATCGCATCTGTTTCTTTCTGTCCAACGCATATAATCTGTCGTTTTTTCGAGCCTCTTGCGCACTCTATTCTTATATCTCTATGATATAGTATAATATATATGAAATAGTATATAAAATAAAATAAAAAAAATTGATAAATAAAATAAAAGCAAAACAAAAATTATGAAAAAATTAACAATTGCCTTAAAAAGTTCTACTTTATCTGTCCAAAACAGGCACAAAAAAACACTTTTTCTTGTCAATGGCGAAAAAATAAAATTTATTTTTAATTTTTAAAAATACGATAAGCGAATAGCATTGGAATAAGATATATTAAGGAATGTTTATGAATTTTTTCAGCTTAAACGGAAACCGGAAACAAGTTTAAAAAATAAAAATAAATTTTATTTTTTAAATACATAAATTAAAGAATTTTAATTTTTCAAAATTAATTTTGTTTTCTTAAACTTCAAAATTTTTTGAGCAAAAAACGTTTAAGAAATTTTTTTCTAGGACTGAAAGTAAAAAAGTTATGAGTGATTAAAAAAAGTTGCACTACTTTTTTAATGGAAATATATCGAAAAATAATAAATAATTATTTCAAAATTTTTTTTTACTCAATTAGACCCATAACCTCTACCCAAAAACGTAGTATAGAAGGAATCGGAGGATAGACCCCACAATCTCACATGGAATTGCTCATATTCTTGTGCAGGTTCATGTACAAGTACTTGCACATGAAACCATTCCCCAAGCAGCACGGTATATTCACTGAATATCCGTTGAATACCACAGTGGAATATTCTCATGATCTTCTGGGAAAATCAAAATGTCCGCATCATGGAAATATTCCATAGTGATATTCAGGGTATATTCCAGTGACATTGAGGGAATATTCCTCGGTGACATTCATGGAATATTCCAGTGACATTAAGGGGATATTCAGGTGATATTGTGGAAATATTCCAGTGATATTGAGGGAATATTCCACGGTTACATTGAATTTTTTTTTAAAATGTGTTTTTAATCTTCCTGCTTATTCAAATAACAATTTATAACATATTTCTATTATTTCAACACTTAAAAAAAACAATATCACCGTGGAATATTCCCTCAATATCACTGGAATATTCCTTTAATATTACCCTCAATGTCACTGGAATATACCCTGAATGTCACTGTGGAATATTCCCATGATGCGGACATTTTGATTTTCCTGGAAGATCATGGGAACAAGCTAAAAAAACTTTGTATAAACTAGCGAAAATAATCTCTGGAATAGTTATAAGTATAGTTAATATCGCCTTAGCGATAATCCATTTTCGCTAGAATAGAGAAAATGAAATTTTCTATGAGATTTAACTATACTAAATATATATTATGAATAGAATATAAATACAATATCTCTGAAACAGTATTTATTTTAACTATCATAAGAGATATTCAATTTCCTTGAGAAAATGAAAATAGTAATATGACTATTTTAGATTAAACATGTATTTAAACTTGTTAAATGTTATAATTAATCTATTAAATAGATTTCCTTATTTTATAAATATTGTACTTTTACTATGTCACTGTTCATAAATTTTTTAGCGTGAATATTCCACGGTGGTTGGGTCATGTTCTTGTACAAGTTCATTAAAAAAATTTTTTTCATCAAAATTTGTGATTTTAATAATTTAGAAACATTAAAACTATTTAGGGGCCGTGTACAAATTACGTAAGGGCCACAGGGGGGAGGAGTGTATGAAATTCTTACGGATACTTATTTGGGGGAGGGTAGGTGCGATGATTTTCTTACGTATGGCTATATATTTAAAAAAAATTTGTAAAAGACGCCAAAGTAGATGAATCTTCTAAAGACAATATGAATGTAGATGAATCTTAAGTTACTATTATAAGTTCCTTAAAGGAATGGATCACAAATCCATTTTCTACGGAAGATGAAAAGATTTAAAATGATATAATAATGTTGAAAAAAATGTATTTTGTTTTCTAAAGTAATGATTGTTTAAATAATGTTAACTTTGTTTTAAATTTAATTTAAAAAATTTATTTACAATGAGAATAAAACGTATAATACATAACTTTACGTTTTGACCTATACTTTCTTTAAGGGGTTACGCCACCCTGAACGCCTGAAAATTGGACGGTATTTCAAAAATAAATTTTGACAAAACAATGAAAAATACAACTTTTTAATAATTATAGTTTAAAAATACATGTATTTAACTTTAAAAAAAAGTTTTAATTAAAAAATATTCAAAAATGGCGGAGATATGGCGTTTTTTTGAAAATACATTTTTTGGAGCGGTATACATATTTTCTCAGAAACCACTCAACCAATTCTCTTGAAAATTTGTACACAACTTCTCAATAACATTCTTTATGGCACCACGCAGCCGTTTTTAAAAAAAATTTTAAGCATATGGGAGCACTTCAAAAAAAATTTTTTTCTTTTACTTTTTTTTGAAGTGCTTCCATTTGCTCAAAAAATGAGAAGTTGAGTAAATTAAAAGTTTAGTAGATTCTGATAAGACTTGTACACTGCTCCAAAAAATGTATTTTATAAAAAAAGGCCATATCTCCGCCATTTTTGAATATTTTTTAATTAAAAATTTTTTTTTAATGTTAAATACATGTTTTTTAAACTATAATAATTAAAATGTTGTATTTTTAATAGTTTTGTCAAAATTTATTTTTGAAATACTGTCAAATTTTCAGGCGTTTAGGGTGGCGTAACCCCTTCAACCTTACGTAAGTAGAGGAGGGGATTAACAAAATCTTACTTAACCTTACATGGGTGAGGGGGGGTTTATAATGTTTAAAATTGGCTTTACGTAATTTGTACACGGCCCCTTACTAATGCATGTTAAAAATTATTGCGCAGTTGTAAAGTCTTATGAAAACTACTGCGCAGCTTTTAAAGTTTTAATTTTTACTAAACGAAGATATACATGAACCTGTATAAGAATATGTTCAAGAACATGTATATTTTCTTGTATAGAAATATTAAATATATTTTTTGTACACGATCTTATGCAAGATCTTGTACAAGTTCTGATACAAGAACTTGTTCCAAATTCTGGTGCCGAAATTGTACAAAATATTGTACATATTCTCACCAGAACAGGTACAAGTTCACCTGCTGAACATGTACATTTGTGTGTACAAGATCTGGTACAGGGATTTTCAATAGGGTACCGTGAGTGTGGTGACGTTTTGGAAAGAGAACGATCATTATACATTTTGATGTGATCGGACAGTTTAGCAATTTAATTGTATTGCATTATTTTACAAATAATAATATAATATTATTTATTTTTTAGATTCAAGAGAAACGCGTTACTCAGACATCAAAGAGAAATCGACTCGAACGAGGAAATAAAGTACGAGAATTTTCTAGTGTAAAGGGTAAACAACCAAGGCGACAGGATCGGTTGCGTCTCCGGAACAGTGGTGCTAATAATGATCGGAAATGCTAGTCACTTTAAATATGAGCAACAAGAGAATGCCTTGATTTTTCATTAAGAAATTATTTTATGAAATGCAGTGAAGTACAGTTTTCTCAAAGAGTTATTACAAATTCTAAAATTTACTTACGGAGCATGAATTACCATAAGTATATCAGTCTAAAATTTGAGCTTAGTAAAATCGAATTCAATGCAATGTATACTAATTTTAAAAAAACTCTGAAATTTTATATTATCTGACACAATTGTCATTTCACTAAAAAAATGTATAAAAACATGCCTATTTTTTTGTCGATACTTATCAAAAATGAAGGTAAAGAGTTTTGAGAAAAATTTAATGTTCATTCAATTCTGTGTTAAATGTCACTTAGTACAAGTTTTTTTTAATAAATAGAAGCCAAGTTAACGTGTGAGAAAACCAACCAATTTTCTAAAATTTGAGAATTTTAATTTTAATATCAGTTTTTTCCATGTTTTAACAAGAAGAAACAAGAAGAGGTTTTGTTCCCAAAGCTTTTTGTACCAAACTTACAGTAAAGAAAGTTACACATTTATAAATACTGGTGTGGGATAGACTGACTCACTTCCTGAAATTTGTTGAGATATTAAATTTTTAAAAATAAGGTTTTCGCTCATTTGAATAACATTGGTCTACAAAAAAATACATTTTTTCTAATGCAAGCATAGGAATAGACTTATCTTATATATCTTTTATCGTTGAACATAAATCCAGCATTACAAATTGCCAATCACAATGACATTTTAAGAAAAATGGACTCAAAAACCCTACTTCTGCTCGTTTTTAATTAAATATATCAAATAAATCTGATATACCCAGCAACAAGCCTGAAATAGAATAGGATTCACCTTATTCACATTTGTATTCAATGCTGAAATATTTTAATTCTATTTAATATTCGAATTTCTCCTTTTACCAGCTTTACGTATAGTAGAATAGAATGTTGAATGAAATTAATTTCATTGAATTCTAAACTGTGCTTCCTATTCAATGTAGCAGAAAACATTGTAAACGTTTTTTATTTCAAAACTGTCCAAAAATTTTTGTAAAATCCATTATCCATTATTATCTTAAGATGGTTAAAAGTAGATGGTATCCGCTACCATCATTATGCTACTCGGTACTATCAAAGATGTTACAAAAAATATGGTTATGTTACACACTACAATCAAGACGTTATTCCGTACAATGTAGATTGTAAGTGATAGAATCTAGATAGCTGTCCCTATATGTAAGATCAAATATGGTACCTGGTATTATCTAGATAGTACCCCGTACCATCTATTTCTCTCCGTGTACTATAACTGATTCAAGCTGCGATCTTAACCTTAATGTTATATATGTTTTTCGTTTATTCCGAAAGTTGTTGCTCGAGTGAAGCGAGAACAGTAATCAAACGCTTCGAAAATGCTTCTTTTGTAAGCTGTGCATATTGTTTTTTTGTTTAACACCTATTTATAGAAAAACTCTATTTCAAATGGTTTTAAATATTAAATTTAAGGTTATGCTGCCTAATAGCAAATCTGAGACTGTATACTATACTTTACAGAAAAAGACTGTAGAAAAGTGTCTCTTGTTTCAAAGTACAGAAATCAACAACTTTATGCTGCATTTACATTAAGAGTGTTCATCGGTCTCTGAAATTTTTTGGCAAAGAGAGACTTTTAATTATCGCCCTATGAAAACGGCATTGAACGTGAAAATGATAAACATTGATTTTAAAACACTTTTTTCTCGAAACCTGAATCCAAAAGATTTTCCTTATCCATGCAAAAACGCGATTAAAAAATTAGAAATAGAATAGTAATATAATTACAGGGTTATTACGTTCTGTTCCCGTAAGATGTCAGAAAAAAGCAGGGATCACAAAGTTCCAACTGTCATTATACTACTTTTCTATTTCGCAATCGCGTTTTTGCATTAATTTGGACCAAAATTTTAGATTTATGAAATTTATAAAATAAGAATCTTTAGTAATATAGTATACTTACTGTTTCTACTATATCCGCTTGATTTTTTTCTCCATGCAGAAACAGGAGATAGTTTTGCTGTTTTCCTGTAGGAAGTAGTAACACTGTGGGTATAGGTGAGAAGGGGCGTGGCTTTAAAGATGGTACACAAGACCGATAGACGAATTTCCGTTGTTTGCACATAACGTGATTTCAATCTTGATTTGCACTCGTAGGGGAGACCGGGGCTGAAAGTACCGATTTTAAGAAAACTAAATAAAATGCTAGTAAAAATGAACTTTTTGTTTTAATCTATAGTCTATCAATTTTAAAATTTAATGTAGTTTTTAAATCCATTATAATTTTTTGATTATTTTGAACAGTTTTTTTCTAAAATATGATTATGTGCAGCGAGGCAACACGGCACGTTGAACTCCCATCTGGGGAGAGTTGTGCCGACGCCGGGGTTGGTTGTGCCGCTCAGATTTTTTAGTTGTTTCAGTTGAAGCAAATGATTTTACGCGTAAGAAATAAAATAATTATTGCCAATATATGATTTACTATTATTTATTAATCATTTGTTATAAACTTTTAAAGGTTTTTAGGAACAATCTTAAGATTTCTAGATTTTAGTAAGTACAAATAAACATTTTCTGACTTATATTCTATAATTGCATAGTTAGTAAGTCACTTAAAATATAGTTTTCGTAATAAGTATTTTTATTATAAACATTCAAAAGATTTTTCCAACAATCGTAACATTTATAGATTTTTTTAAATAAATAAACATTTCTGATTTAAATTTAACAATTACACTCCCTGAAAAAAGTAATCTCATATTTAGAGGAAAAATTCTCTTCTAATATCCTCTCAATTTTTCCTTTTAAAATAAAAGTATTCCACTTGAATGTAGAATATTTTTATTCTTTAGTGACTAATAATAAAACAAAACAATTTTTTTGAGGTTCTGATGACAAAAACATTTAATTAAAGTTAAATAAATAAACAAATCTATTAATTAATGTAAGTAATTAACTATAAATCATTAATTATATTTAATATTTAATTAAAGATATTTAATTTAGTGCATGAGAATAGCTTTTCTTTATCAGTTTATAACCATAATTGTCAAATTATATGCGAGAGGAAAATCCTCTCAAATGAAGACTATTACTTTTGATACAATATATAAGAGGAAAATATGCATCAAATTAAGAGGAATTCGCTAGAATCAAGATTACTTTTTTTAGGGTGATAATTAGTCAGTCTTTTAAAATATTTTTTGAAATAATTATTTGTATCGTTAATTAATTGTAAAAACTCTACTTTCTGATTAATAAATAATTTTTAAGACATGAATACTTATTCCGAATGCGATTTATTGAAATTACAATTGACACACATATAACTGACCCTTTTTTTACCCTTCACACATTTTAAATGTGCCCAGTTTTTGCAAACTATGCATTGAATCAACTTTTCTCTTGATTTCGGGTTGGAATAACTATTCGAACAAACGAGGCAATAGTAGATTATGGTTATGTAGCGATTGACAGCGGCACAACCAGCCCCAAGCGAAAGGCACAATTACCCTCGTTGCGTCGACGTTCACTTTTTATCAAATATTAAAAAAGTAGATAAATTAAATGTTAAGATCAATACACCATTGAATCCCTTGATAAATTTGGATCATTTAAAAAAAATAAAAAAAAAAAATGCAAAAAATAGACCAAAAGGTGTAAACATGAAAACTTGCACGTAAGTGACGCCAAAGCACGAAATTACTAACAGCTAATTATTCCGTGAAGAAAACGAAATCAAAATAGTTACCAGAGATATTCCTATCGGCACAAGTTACCCCCGGCACTTTCAGCCCTGGTTTCCCCTACATTAAGATGAGACAAAATATTTTTTTTTTGGTAATTTTTCAAAGTAAGTAAGTTTAATTTACGTTTTATATTGTCTAAGAAACAATATTCTTTTTATGCTTGTGAAGTTTACATTCGTTTATTCAAGATGTACATAGAAGGTTTCTTTGAAACCTGTGAAATAGAAATTAATTTTGTTAGAGGGAATCATAAGATACTTGTTTATTTAGAGAAAATGACTAAACAACAATATTATTTTTATTTATGTATGTAACAATAATAGATGATATACTAAATACAAAATGTTTTATCGTACAAAAGTATATGATATGACGATTAATGTTATAATACACATATAGTAATTTACGCACAATAATTCATTATATGAAAACTAAAATTTTTAGTTGTCGAAGTTTTCACATAATAAAAACACTTTGTGCCTTTTGGTCTGTCATTTAAATTATGGTTTTAAACATTTTACACACATCTTTTGAAAAAATTTAGAAGGTGAGTACTTTAACCACGAAGTATTGTTAGGTTTCTTCAAAAACTGTCGGAGAGGAAGGTGGGTGAATTTTTTCGAAAAATTTAAACAGTAAATTTTTGATGACTTGTAACTTTAAAACATAAACATAATTTATTTAATTTTTATTCTTCAATTTTTATGAGAAGTTCTAATAAGTTTGTGAATAATTAATTTCTAATTTTGGTTTAATAAAGTGGCCTGATGATGGTGTCAAACCAAGACACCGAAACGTTGCCGAATAAATAATTTGGTGTTTTATTTATTGCTTCCAATAATCGAAAGAATCTCAAATTTATTTATCATTAATTAATTAATTAATATCTCGAAAATAACAAAAAATCGGACAAGTGCGAGTTACACTCGCATTAAAACCGAGGGTTCCGTACCCCTAATCCTAAAATTTGTTGTGGACTGGAGGTCTTTCTTCTATCATTTGTTTATTTTCAATATCATAAGTTTTTAAAAATTTTTTATTTTTTTTATCATTTAACATTTTCAATTTTATGATTTTTTTAGATTTCACCAAATAATAAAAATATCAACAAATAAAAAATGTCAAAAGATAAAAAAAATAGCAAATGGTAAAAAAAAGAAAATGGCAAAAATGCCAAATTATAAAGAATGGCAAAACACTACAAAAAAATATAGCAAGCACAATTGGAGTTCTCGCTATATTTTTTTGTAATCTACACGCAAAAATACGTAAAAGTGTATAAATTTGAAACTCTTTAGATAAAATATTCTTCGTTTTTGGGGAGAAATCATAATTTTTGTCGAAAATTATCAGTTTTTCCTTGAAAACACTATGATAATTAACTCCAATCGTTCTCGCTATATTTTTTTTGTAATCTACACGTAAAAATACGTAAAAAAGTATAAATTTGGATCCCTTAGGATATAATTTTCTTCTTTTTTTATTCGAAAAATCCATGATTTTTTCTAAAAATATGAGTTTTCCTTAAAAACAATATGAACATTAACTCCAATTGTGCTCGCTATATTTTTCCTGTAATCTACACACAAAAATACATACGTATACCAAATATGAACTGCTTTCGTCAAATATTGTGTGCGCTAGGAGGATTAATCGCTTTTTTAAAAAATTTTTGATTTTTCTTTGACAACGCTATGTAAATTAATCCGAATCATGTTCGCTATATTTTTCCTGTAATTTTCACGTAAAAATACATAAGTGTACCAAATTTGAGCTCTCTATGTAAAAAGATGTGGCAACCAGGGGGGGATACATAGTCATTTTTAGGGATTTTAGGGTTGCCTTGCTTCACTAGTCTCATTAATAGGGTTCCCCCTTCGGGTACGGAAC